CTTAGCAACCTCCCGCGTGCATCCATAACTCAATAGTGTACGCTGTGGTGTTTACCATTTGTTAAATAGTGCACGCTGTGGTGTTTACCATTTGTTAAATTTAAAAAACAAGTCGACAGTGGTTCAGAGTGGTCTGTACCCCTATCGCCAACGATATTCACCATCACAGTGGTCAAAATGTTGTACGCAATACTGAGAACTACACATTTTGAAAAAGACTTACCTTAAATTTCTTTTTCACTTGACTTGGACTCATGCTGACGTTCAAAGCTTCGACAAGTCTCTGGACTTCTTTCAAACCTAAAGAGCCATCTTTGTTCTTGTCGAATTTCTCAAAGGCTTCCACGAGCCATGTGATGTTTTGTTAAAGAAATTTTTTTTCTATTTTGTTCCTTCTAAGACTATCAAACCGGATAATGGCACAAAATAATTAATTCTGCGTATGTCAATCTAGAATGTGTCCTAAACGCTTTTCATTTGAGTGTCGATAATGACGACAGCCGATCAGAAAACGCATAAATACGTATTCCAAAGATTGAGCCAATAAGAATTCAAAGGAATTACTTGTACACGTGATCAAGCGCGGAAAAATTCAGGTGACAAAGTAAGCACGACAGCCAATCAGACCATGCGTAAGTTCGTCCTCCAATAAGCTAATAAGAATTCAAAGTAACTACATGTAGACGAGACAGCAAATAAGAATATGCGCAAGTTCGTACTCCAAAGAGCCAATGAGAATTCAAAGTAACTACATGTAAATGAGCACCCAATCAGAACGCGCTTAAAGTTCGTATTCCAAAAAGCCAATAAGAATTCAAAGTGTCTACATGCAAACGAGACAAAGCATGGGAAAATACGCTAGACTAAGTCACGATTGAGTATTGTATCATTAGGACCAAAGTAATCGCAACGACAAATCAGATGAAAGGAGAATATTTAATAAAAGCGTGAAAGGATATTGATCACGATTTTCCTTATCCTCTTTCTCGAGATTACCTGAGGCAAGAAAACAAAAAAAAAAAAAAGATCAATGAACAATCCAGTTCACAAAACACGATTGTTTTCAGCGAAAGTCCAAATCTTAAAGGAGAGTCATTGATTTCTCTGTCATAACGGTGGAGCCAAGTTCAAATCCTCCCTGTAACGCAGTAGACATTTGAATCTAATTTTTGACTTTAAAATTTCAACCAGCCCTTTACACCCGAACATCAGCAATTATATTCTCCATACCGTTCTCTATACATTTCCTATGGTACTAGCAAGGAGAATTTTTTTAACAGTAGCCTGCTTTCAGGCGGTAGTTTGTGTTTCCAAGCGTGACACTCAGCGGGGATATTCGGTCGCCATATTGGACGGTTGGAAGATCTGGGATGAGTGACAGACCACTCGTTTACCACTAGCCACTCGTTTACTTGTAGCCGCTCGTCCCCAATCTTTCACCCGTCCAGTATGGCGACCGAAAATTTGCCGCGCTGAATCCCGCGCCTGAAAACACCAACAACCGCCTGCAAGCAGGCTAGTTCAACACTCAAGAATATGAACTGGGCATGGTGAACAGCGCGAGAGTAACGGCGGAGAGAAAACAGGGGAGGACTGGGTTGAGTCGCGTGAAGAACATTATGCAACCCGACCCAAACCTCGCGCATTGTTTAATAACTGAACGCCTAGGCAAGCTATTAAAAATTGTTCTGAGGCAGAAGGTTACCTTTATTGTCAATGAGCCTCTGAAGTCCTCTTATCCAAAAGTCTGCCACTTCCCGTGATTCAGCCACCACATTAAGGGCTGCACTGCCCCCATTGTTACCAAACTTAATGGAAATACATTTGTCGAGGGAGTGCTTTTTCAAAAATCCTTGGAAAAGGTCCTTAACGCTGTCTCCAAATTGTATTTCTGTCATTTTGTCAATCTTAACTAACATATAACAAAAAACCAAATATGAATTTAAGAAATTTATTAAGTACTCTGAGTTATATTCAGCCATAGCCCTCAAAATATCACACCCATAAAAGGTATTGGAAGGTCTTTCAAAACTGCAAGTACTTATACTACATCAAAAGAATAGCAAAAGGAAGGGGGATCAATGGTGCCTGTGGAAACTGCCCCCCCCCCACATCACCATCCACTCCTCATCAAGAAAAAATGATAAAAAAAAAAAACACCTGACAAGTCCCTAAACCCAACTCAGACACTAAATTTAGGAGGCCCCCCCCTTAACTCTGTCAAATAATAGTGATGACTTATAAGATTGCAACAATCTGCCATGTGCTAATGAGATGTTATGGTAAGACTTCCTCCACCCCTTAGTAACGTTACATAACCCCATATGCCTACCAGATTCTATTGAAGGACCCTAACATTCAAAAAAGACATAGGGCATAAGTAATAAAATTGCAGAACCAAATCATGTTCTGATTTCTGATTCCAGATAATTCTGATAATTCTTCAGGCCCATAAAATTGAAGGCACTGCGATTAATTCCATTGCGTGAATTTCTGTCACGGCTATGACTGGAGTGATTTTTTACACAGATTGCAGCTAGAGTTGAGTAAAATTTGAGCCAAGGAAAAAGAAAAAGTGGGTTTGCAATGCATGGAAAAGAGACTGTTTGAATGTTACAAAAATGAATGTTGCAAACTATGTAAATTCAATCAAACATAGTAATTCTACTAAACATTTTTTGTTTTAAGTGTATAACTTTCAAAACAAAATATCTTTTCAAAGAGGTTAATACAGCTACATGCAGTTATTTTAAATCAGAAATCACCCCCCTCCCCAAGTAACAGACTATAACCATAATGAATATGAAAAAATTTAACTTACACCGTGAGTTCTTCTTCGATGGCTCATATCTAATTTCTTTCATCTCTTTATCAAGAACAAATGTTTTCTTCTGATGGCCTTTCCTGCTGACATCCAGTTTGATCATCTTTGATCCATGCTGCATTGCCTTCCAGCAATCTTGAACTAATTATAAGCAAAAAAATTTTTATCATTAATTAGAGTCATTGTACCTAAAATATTTTCTTCCTTTAACCCTTTAATTTCCGGGATCTACTTGTTAATTCTCCCCTCTAGCTGCTATATGTTTCTTTGTATATTGGTTACAAGAATTTGGGGTTAGATCAAAAGGTAACTGTATTTCAACTTTGGTTGTTGAGGCTAATTAGGCCCCTACCAATACATGCTAATATGCTGAGCAAAGTATAACTTACTAAGTGCTTAAAAATCCCCACTGGCAGGAGGCAAACCAGTGGGCTATTAACAGAGCACAGCCGAGGAGTTGAACTATGGGCAACCGAGAACAAATCCAGTGAGTGGCAGGGTGGGGGACTTGAACCCGGGACACCGGATTACAAGTCTAGCACCCTAACCACTCGGCCACGCCACCCCCTCCTAACAATTTCATCCACCTGATAAGTTTGAGTATTCTCATTACCTGTTTACTGGATAATGTATGGATATTATAGGGAGAAAAAAACATGTTAATCACTTCCAAAAGTTAAAGGGTAAAACATAATACATTTAATCCACATCAGAAACAAAGTGAACCCCTTACATGATAATTTTGATAAAGTGAATGTTTCTCACAACCTATCTCCTTATCTCTCTTTTACATTAACACAGGCTGTGTTACCTTAAAACCGAATTTGGAGTATAAAGTGAGAACATTTAGTAAGTTACAGCTAGTACAACAGATGAAATGGAAACTATTTAATGACTTGTGCAAAGTCAATTTTCACTGTTTGCATATGTCATAATTTCCCAATTTTTGGCAGTGTTTTAAAACAATGTTTGCTTACAATACCCGTTTCTTACTAAACATCACTGCTACATTTCATTAAACCTGTGTTAGTTCCAATAGTCCAATATTTGCTCAATTTGTCAAAATTTGGCATACCAGAATCTAATTAATACTCGCATGACACAACCGTTTGGATTTCACATATTCTTTCAAGAATATCTTATATCTCAAAACCTGCATTACCAATTGGATATGATCACATTGGTACGTGCAATAATGTTAAGAGTGTAAAAAAACTTAAATTGCATAAATAATGGGAAAACATTAAATGACTTGTCAAGACCTCACCAGATGTATGCACTTTTAAATCATAAAAGTTTGTGAAGCAAATAATTTTGCTTTAAAATATGAAAGCAACGGGGTTTGGGCGCCTCGTTGTCACATAATAGGAGACTACTAGCAGCAGGGAATTTCCGAGTGTTTTAGAACCCCTTCAACGCTCCAAATTGCGTGATACAATTGCGTGACAAATGTCAAGACCTTTCGAAAAGCACGAAAACTTCTTAAGAAAATATGTTGATTATTTTCTCATGGGACCCCAACGTTTAACAGAGAAACGAGTCAAATCCATGACAAAATCGTTAGCCACAAGATATATTAAAGAATCAATCAACCAATAAAATTTTGATACAAGTTTCGATGCGCGCAAGTTCCTATGTTAGGATTTAACTTGTAATTTTTTTCCAAACAATAAAAACTTCGTTCCTTTATATTTTGCCGTTAGTTTAAGTCGGTTCACAAGAAAGACCAAAATAAAGTTATCAACAAAATGAGTAAAAATCTCAGGTGACTAAACTAATATCTTTGAAGCAAAACAATAAATTTTAACAAGGGTCAATTTCACGATGTTCAAATGACTTTTTCTCAGCGACTTTGCCAAGAGAAAAACTTTGTCTTAAATGTCCATGAAGAACGATTGAGGTAAAATTAAATTCGGTAAAAACTCTACTCAAATTTTAGAAACTTTGTCGTTAAAAGTTACGTACATTTAAAAGAATTTAAAATATGGTAGCTCTTGAAGGCGAATATTTGTTTCCTCATGAAATGTCACACTCTGTTTAACTAAATTATCACAGTTATCCGAAATCGTATTTAGTAACCCAAAAACAAAAATGAAGAAGTTAAAAAATCACCTTAAAGGCGATTGTCCAACCGCAAACTTAACTTCTTGTTTAATTCCACGGAAGTTTGTTATCTTAAAGTTCGCAAACTTGAACTGGGCGAAAGTTGAAGCAAAACATCTGTCAGAGCAAGTTCAATATGTTTACGACAAGCTTGGCGAGTTTTAACACCTCTAAGCCTGATATACTATGCTTATAGGCTAAAAGTTTTGAAAAATCTCACCTGATGGAGCAGAATTCTCATTTTCATCGGCCATTCTTCCGAAAGAGCGGGCGACGGTACGACCTTCATACAAGAAACAACAATTCAGAATTAATGATCATGACAAAACATGCAATGTTATCTACGCTCGCCCGATTTAGAAAACCTCCCTTACGCGTCGGGTAGTCTATTAGTTCTACCTTCTGGTTTTCTTATTAATATTCAAAACAAGTTCATTGAATATTAATAAGATTTAGGACAATATTTGCCAATAGATTCAAGACAACCGCGGTAGAGTTTTGGCAAAATGAGGAACAATAATGTTTTAGCAAGGAAAAATGATGTTTACGAACTTCCGATGTACACCGCTCTTGGCATCACTACGTGACTGGAAAAACTTAACGTACAGCCTGCATGAAAACATTGAACTAACTTCCCTGTGAAAAAAAGGGTGTTTCAAGAAACAAAACAAAAAAACCAAAGCCGTGAAAAGGCAAACACACTTTTTTTAAGGCGGCATAATTTATTAAAAACACTGCGAGGGGAATTTTTAAGGAAAGCTGGAAAAATATCTTGAAAGCTCTCCTTCAGGGTAACGGTGTAATTTCATGTGTAAAAGTAAACAGCTTATCCATTGTTTTCCATAACAAAACGAGAAAGAAAGCTATAACTACAGTTGTGTTTTCAGGATTGCTTGTAGGAAAGATAAAAAGCATGAACTTGCAGTCTCCGCCCGTGTTTTGACTTCGAAAGAGAATAAAAGATATGCAATTAAGACCACCTCCTAGAGCATTGCACGAAAGAAAACGATGACTTTGTGATTTTACTTATTCATCATTCGAAATATTCAGAAAACAGAAGGCAAAAGTGTGTCAAAAATAAACTTAAATGCAATCAAACAACACACAAATATACTCACTCACCAAAGTATCGTGATCTCACGAATTGATAGAATACTGGCGAAAAAAATAAAGCCAAAATAAATATTGCCGCGCTTGTATTGAAATGGCTAAAATGTTACAAGAAAATTCTGATTGCATGACACAAGCCCATTTTCAAAAGTATACCAAATGCAGGAAAAATGCGGAAAACGGAAAGATTTGTGAAATATCTTTAATGAAAACCCTTAGTGAGTTAACTTAAGGGCTTCTATCTACCGCCAAAATGCCATTTTACGTAACATTTAGCCTAAAAATAACATCACATTTCCCGAGTGCAGTTTTCGAAATTGCGCATTTAGCGTTCATTAAATTAGACTTTACTCAGATACCGAAATTTTTGACAGAAAAATCGCACCAAAATGTAAAGTTTTATGTTTAAGAAGGTCGTTTAGCTTACCTAATGTCCAACTTTGACTTGTTAGTCCTCACTAATTGCTTCTTTTTGCTCACGGACGAACCGATGACAGTTGCAGGTACTAAAGCGGGTAGTTGTTTGTCTTGAGATCAAATTTGGGAATTTTCCAAGTAACATCATATGCTAAGAAAAAAAAATTCAATTCTAAACTAGGATAAGCTACCCACAAGATTACCCATCAGCCGCGTTGTTCACCTTTATCGAGCAGCGGACGAAGCGCCAGATTGTGGCCTCTGGGCGTCCTTCAAATCTGAAATAGCGAACGGAAGTGAAATAATCTTAAACATTTTCTGTGGTAAAGGATTATATGTGACGAGTATGGTTTCTTCAGCTCACGAGGACATACCCTATGGCATAATTAACAAAGATTTGACCAAGAATTCTCTAATTTCACACCGTGGTCAAACGAAACTTAAACGAACAATACCTCAGTATCGAAATGACAAATCCTAGATAAAATATTAAATGAAAGTTTTATGTGTTGAGATTAAAATCACTAAATAGCAACAGCTCTCAGGCGCGGTCGAAAGAAGTTTACAGCGACGTTATATATTTACGTAGGTTAACAAGCGTTTCAGAGATGGTCACACGTGCGCGTATGTAAAAGTTAAGGACGATTGCAACTTAGAGATAATGGCAATGATGCATTTAAAATAACCCATTTTCCACATGAATATGCTCTACAACACTTTACGTCAGACAGCATTGAGCAGTTTACGATTCAATTTTCTTGTAAGGGAATTTTGCAGGTAGCCCCAATTTAGGAATTTTTGGAAACAAGAACAAAAACCACCAGCAGAAGCTATGTTCTCCACTCTGTGCGAAAGATGAAAGCTAGAATGTCTGACCGTGTCACAGAAAAGGCAGCACATTCTCCTCAGTTATTAAAATCATGATTGTTGGTTCGGTCTGGTGCTGGAACTTTCGACCTCCCGCACGGCAGTCTGGCATAACTTCCACCTTTTGCTACGTGACGGAAAATAATAATATTCTGACATCCCTGGTAAGTAGGAAAAGGGGGACCCAGCAAAGACTTAGGGATTCGATATGGATCAATGTTCCAGATGGGTGCCAACGTAACCTGTTAAAAGCCGCAGAACATTGCTGTATCTATTTATCTATATTAGAGAGTTTGATGACGTCACCATAAACAACATTTTGCTTTTTTGTTTTTGTATAAGACGAATACAATCCATATTGCGTGGTCTGCACTACTAAAGATCACAGAAGACGTCACAAAGTGGTAAGAACATCAATTGGCACACTCGGCTACGCTTCGTGATCTTTACAGAACTGAGGCACAGTAGCACGGAACCTATTTGTTGATCAAAGAGCGATGCAAACAGCGGAAATAAATGCCGCGTTTATTTAAACCGGAAATCATACATGGACAAAATGAAAACGTGTCCTAAAGCGGAAGTGACATTGTGTAAAGGAACGAAGTGCAAATATGATGCGTATCCGGTCTTGCACGTGCCTCACCTATGCACGTCAAAATATTAAAATTCGAGGCACATGAGAGGCATAGAACCTTTGAAACTTTCTACTGCAACAAGTGATTAACATGTAGTTTCTCACTAACATATCCATACACTATCCAATAAACAAGTTATGAGAATACTCATGACTTATCAGAGGCTGTTGTCTTGATCTAACACCAAATTCCCGTTATTTTTGTTACAAGAGCTGGACTTCTAATGCGCTCTTCAGAATGATTATTAACAAGCCAACCTTGTCTACTTTTAGAAAGCTGGTATTTATCAGTGTCAACCTTTTGAAATCCTAGAAGGAACTAGCATCTAATTTCTCGATTCCAACAGTATCATCCCTGGATCAAACATTAGTAAAGGTCACGAGAGTAATGGAAATGTCAGCACCTATTTAGGATATGCATAGAGAACGTTATGAAGAATATGCATACTGATCTTTGGGTGCAAAGGTTGAAAGGCTATGCCTAAAAACACCTCATGGAGACTTATGCAAACTCAGCTTGATGCGCCATCCTATGACTAGAAACTAGTAAATAACGGTTTCTTTGTTAGTTGTTTTTTCTCCCGTTCGTTTGTTTGTTTCAGAAGGTTTTCGCAGGTTAAAATGAACAGGTTTAAAAGCTTCGAAACCAGGTTTGAAAAGGCATAATCCAAAATCGACTGTGAAGTTTTTTCGCCTCTCAATATCATACGAAATATAAATATTCTCACCGCTTTTGAACAGAATGATCATCAGTGATCATCGATTTTACGACATACCTTATGCTTGAAGAAAAATGCTGCATGAATGATTTAAGAGAAAGGTGTTTGAATTTAGCCAAAAGTCCCGTACTAGCATAGTTTCTTAAATACTATAGACTAGCGACTAAATACAGGAATGGCTCCGACCTGTAAATGGATGATAAAAATAGTAAAAGTTTGTAAAAGTTAATAAGTTACATCTTAACTCCTTGCACGTGAGTATTGTTTAACCGTGTGTCTCCAAGCGGAACAGTGAAATAGCAATGCGAGCGAAAACACC